CCCACTCTGTCTCTGGTGAATCCTCTCACCCCTGCACCTCTGGCCTGCACCCCAGCTCCTGTATGCATAAATAAATAAATCTTAAAAAAAAAGAAAAGGGAGCATGCGTGTTAGGCAAATGCAAACTCTGCAGAGCTGCGTGAAAGTAGTTGTAACTATCATCCCCTGAGACTTTCTGAAGTGCATTCCATTCACATGCCATCACTGTCCACGTCACCATCATCTTCACGGCAAGAAGAGACCCCCTGATTGAGAGTCTGGACATCATAGGCTGAGCTAAACACAGTTCTCTAAAGGAGGTAGAATGAAGCTGACCCCCAGATGCGGAGTGAAGCTCAGAGTAACTCGGGTGTCTGGTCTTTTTGCTAAAAACTGGAATCCAGGTCCGTGTGAACCAAGATCACACAAGGATTTTTTTTTAATACTTTATAGTCCACCTCTCCGCCCAGTTCCGGGGACTATAATGGAGCCATAGTTGGACCCCAGGCCTGCAGCCTCCAAGTTCACGCAGTTACCCCTGCGGGGCTGAGACCTGCCCCGACTGCAGTCCTCACTGTTTCTCCCTGGAACCACAGCTCGACCTGTTACAGGCAGGGAGAGGGGCACCCCCAGACCCCGCAAACTTGCCTGCACTAAATAGATTCTGCCATCCGCCGCATCAGCACAAAACATATGAAACTTTAATAGGAAGGAAATTAAATACAATTAGGAAACAATACAGGAAAGGCAGAGAATATAGTTTTTAAATCAAGCACCCAAAGTTACCCGTCCCCTCGTGGGTAAAAGTCCACCCAAGCCGGATTGGCCCAGAGCAAGGCCCAAAAGCTGCCCTAAGTCCAAAGCACCTTCCAGCGGGGACCCACAGAAAAGGGTCAGAAACAACCAGACAAGTCTGGGAGGAAAAGAGCAAAATCAAAATCAAGATAAAAGCTGCCATTATTAACCTCCCCACGGGTCTCACCCACATCTGTGTCACCCCGTCCACGACCAAAAACCAAGCGCAGTTTCTTCATGTGTCTCTGCTCCACGTGCCTCCTCCAGGTCTCCTTCTGGCTCCATCCTGCTTCTTCCTTTCCAGTTTCCTCTGCAGCTTCTTCTCTCCCAGCTCAGCTACACCCTCCCTTGGGTGGGGCAGGAAACCCAAAACTTCCCCCTTTCCTGGGGACCACCCTGTTACAGACCCAGTCCCTTCCTGGGTATCGGGCAGGGCAACCCAAGCTTGACTGAGCATCCTCAGAGGGACCCTGCTGGCCCACACATGGTGTGTGTGCCCACTGCCCTGGGTGTGTGATTAGAATAAAATGCCCCCGTGCCCTCTGCCACACACAAAGTGAGAGATTCCCCCAGAGCCCATCCAGAGCAGGGGCGGGGGGTAGGGGGGAGTAAAGCTGTGTGTTACCTTTGGGAGAGCTTCTACGCAGGAGACCCCCAGTGCCCGTCCTGCCTTCTGCAGGTGCAAAGGCGAGCTGCCTGGCTTCTGTAGGAAGGTGAGATTTTCCTTCCCTGGAGTGTCACCAGCCAGTGAGGCTGATGTTCATGCAAAGGAATTCTTCGTTCCTTTGCAAATTGAGAGCCGTAAAAGCGTGAGAGTCTGGAACAGGCCCCGACCCGATTCCCTGGAGACCATGGAATGTTCCTTCCCAAGTCAGGCTTTCTTTCAAGAGTTCCTTGAAGACCCGAGCCCTGGACAGTCATAAGAGCAAACGGCAGCTAATGCTGCTTGCTGGCTGGCCCACTGCCCACACCACCCCAGGAGGCAGCATGGACTTGTCCCCATTTCACAGATGGAGATGCTGAGACTGGAGAGATGAAGGTGCTCACTCAGCCCTTCCCAATAACATGGTGGATAGGCTCTCCATGGCACCCTGGAGAATCAAAAGACTGGAAACAGTCCTCCATAGGGGCTGATGGGCAGGCTTGCGCTTCTGACACCAAATACGGGGGGCTTCTCTGTCGAGCAATTCTCTATTTTTCCATGGACACCAAAAGGTGTCCTACGATTTCATTCAATTCTCACACTACCCAGAGTCAGCACGGACCTCACAGGTTGAGGCTGCAGAACCCCCCTTAGATGCCAGTTGTAAGCAGGTGTCTCCCGGTTATCCAAGTTTCTGTCTGGCTTGGCTCTAACTCTGGGGGTCCCCAAGACTACCTCCTTGACTGTACATGCTCGGAGGGCCCCTGCTGGCCCACACGTGGTGTGGTGCGTGTGCATACTGCCCTGGGTGTGTGATTAGAATGAAAGCGTGCCCATGCTGGGGCCTTTTCTTTGGTGACTGGTCTCAGGGAGGGGCCGAGGCTCTGTTTTGGGCTCCGATGGACAGGAAATTGAACCTCAGGTGTTCTTCTTTCTAGCAAACTGCTCTTGAGTGTTTCTCACCCGGAACCATCAAAGTACCTTCCGGGAAGGGCTGCTGGAGGCACAGACGAGGGAAAGAGCTTGGTGGGGAGGCTGTTGTTAACGACAGTCATTTTACAAGATGGAAATACTGTGTCCTCCATCTCCTGTGCAGACCGGTTGAAACTTCATGGCTTCCTGCCCAGGCTAACCAAGTCCGGTCCCCGTCCCAGACGTCCCTCACTCAGAGCCTGGCTGGTGTCTTCCTCATGTTCTAGGGTCTCTTTATCAGCATCTGGCTCAGCGAGGCAAGGAGGGGGTCTCTCTGCTCCCCACAGCCTACACTCCCCACCTCGGGGCCATTTTGAGGGCTTACTAGTCCATCCCGGGAGGCCTATGGCCGAGGCTATGGTGAGGCCCTCCGGGAATGGAGGACCCTGGATCCCTGGGCTTCCCAGACCCTCAGCTGAGCCCTGCAGCTGGACTGCTCGCCCTGGGCAGGGGTGCAGGGGTACAGGAGCTCACAGCCTGTGACTGCCCCCCTGCTGAGGGACCTTTTTGATCTATTTCTTTCTTTGTTCCTAGAAGGGACTGGGGAGGGTGAGAAGAAAAAGGGATCAGGATTCCAGACAGCAAAGAGCTTTTGTTTGTGCTCCTGATAGAGCCGAATATATTACATTTTCCCTCTTGGCACCAGCCTATTAACTCAAAATACAGTTATGAGATTATACTTTTCTAATTTGATGTTTTGTAAATCTTGAAGGCCCCTGGAAACCTAAAGAGTATGTTTTTTACCCTCAGAGGTATGAACTCCATGATTAAAAAAAAAACAACACAGCGATCCATTTGGTTCATCACTATTTATTAAGCACCTACTGTATGTGCGGCAGTGTACTAGGAGCTCAGGAGGCTCCTGAGGGAAAAAGAAATGACCATGTTTAGACCTACTGCGTGCTGGGCTCTCGGAAGCATTTTTATTACATCATCTTAATTTAAGAATAACTATTGGGGCCTCCCTGGTGGCGCAAGGGGTTAAGACACAGCACTATGAAGCTCTCCACAGCCACTGCAGCAAGAGTTCAATCCCCAGCCAGGAAAGTCACCCAAATGGCGGAGCAGACCTCTCCTGTCTCCCCGCTGCTCCCCTCAGCGTGTGTTTCAGTCAATCTGCCAGTTCTGCTCCCCACTCTGTCTCTGGTGACTCCTCTCACCCCCCATACCTCTGGCCTTCACCCCAGTTCTTGTACGCATAAATAAATCTTAAAAAAATGTTAAGAATAACTATGAAGGGGGCTTCCCTGGTGGCACAAGGGGTTGAGTCTCAGCACTGTGAAGCTATCTGTAGCCACTGCAGCAAGAGTTCCATCCCCAGCCAGGGAGCTGACCCAAAGGTGCAGCAGACCTCTCCTGACTCACCCGCTGCTCCCCTCAGCAGTGGATTTCAGTAGATCCATCTGTTCTGCTCCCCACTCTGTCTCGGGTGAGTCTTCTTACCCACCACACCTCTGTCCGTCACCCCCATTCTTGTATGCATATATAAATAAAAATAAGTCTTTAAAAATATAACTAGGAAATAGGTTTTGTCATCCCATGTCACGGGTGAGGAAAGATGCAGAAAGTCCCATGACCTGTCCAAGGTCATTGGTGGCGCAGGAGCCAGAGCTGTCCCATGCAGAGCTGACTGCCCCAGCCAGGCCCTCCCCACAGAGCAGGAACACCCGTGGATGAGTCACCGAGCGGCGCAAACCAGCCGATTATTAAGCCTGGGCTGTGTGGGGTCAAGGGTAGGGGGGTCGAGGAGTGAGGAGAGTCAGGAGGATTTCCTGAAGGAGGCGGCCCGGACTCCCCCTGGCAGGACCAGAGGCTCAGGGCAGAGGTGGGGGAGGTGCCGTGATGCTGGCCCGAGCAGGAACAAACTTGAACTATTACAGTCTCCGGACTGCAAGCCCTGAGGTCAGCTGGGTGGGGTCTGGGGTGGAGAGGGGAAAGTCTGGCAGAGCTGCCAGGAGCCGGTCAGTGACTTGGGGGTCAGGGGGAGTGTGGCTGCAGTTGTCGGAGCGGAGGGCCTGAGGCTGGAGATGGCAGGGGCCGGCAGGGTCACCCAAGGCCAGGCCAGTCCTCCAGGACGCAGGGGAGGGGGGAGCGTCTCCAGGTCTTGGTGGAGGAAGCCCTGGGGCATAATGGGCAGGAGCGGGGAGTTCCCAGCTTTCACACTCCCCTGGGGTCCTCTGGGGTACTGGTTCCCTGCTCTTCCAGAGCTCCAGGTCCAAATCCCTCATCCTGACATTTCAGCCACCTCACCATCTGGCTGCTACCTTTTTTTGGGGTGTCTCTGCACCCACTAGTGTCCTAAATGAGCTCTCTGCTTCCCCAGACCCAGTTACTCATGCTTCCTGCCGCCCAGGCTGCCCGCCGCCCCCCCCCCCGCCCCCCAAGGCGGCCCCGCAAAGCCCACCAGCCAGACCCTCTCAGCGAAGGACGCGCTGGAGACAGCGGGGGGCAGCGAGCCGCCTCCCCCGCAGCCCCGCCCCCGGCTGAGGATCAGCATCTTGTTGTTATTTACTCTGCGCCCTGGACGTCTCCGCAGTCCGCGCGCCCTCGAGGGCTGCGGTGTCCACTGGGCCTCCCGCCGTCTCCCTCCCTCTGTTTCCTCATCCGCAAAATGGAGCCAGACGCGTCGCCTCAGGCCCGGCCGGGCCGGGGCGCCCGGGGGCAGGACGGCGGGGACCGGGCGGGGGACCCCCGGGGCCCTTCCCTGTCCGGGCGGCTCCGCGCCTCTCGGGGGCCCGCCCGCCCCGCACTGGAGCTCGCAGAGGGCGCGCGCACAGCCCCCCGAAGTCCCCCGGTTTCCTCAGCAAATGGGGGCGTCTGGGGTCGCCGCTCAGGACCGACCCCCGGGCCCGGGCGGCCGCGGCCGGCGCAGCCCCCGCCGGCCACGGAGCGCGAGTGCCCGGCCCCGCCCGGCCGGCCCGGTTCGGGGCCCCGCGGCTCCGTCCTCACCGCGCCGCGCTCGGGGGTCGGGGGGCGACGGTGCGCGCGGCTGCCCCTCGCCCCCGGGGTGTCCGCCCCTGGGGATGGGGGTGCGGCGGGCACAAAGGGAGGCGCGGGCCCCGGGCGCCGCTCGCGGGGCTCCGGGGCCTGAAGGGCGCGCGGGGACCCGTGGACGCGCCCCGCGGGGGCCGGGTCGGGGTGCAGCCGCCCCCCCGCCGCGGGGGCCCCCACCCCGGGCGCGTCCCCGCCGGCGCGCGCCCCGGGCTCCGCCGCCGGCCGGGGAGGCGCGCGCCCGCCCCCGCCCTCCGCGCCCGCGCGCGCGCCCCGCGCCGCCCGCCCGCCCCTCGCGCCGCACCCCGCCCCCGGCCGGGCCCCTCGCGGCCCGGAGAGCGCGCGCCGCCATCTTAGCTGCGCCGCCGCCCGCGAAGCCCGCGCCGCGCCGAGGGGAGGGGAGGCGCCCGGCCGAGCGCGCACCCGGGTCCCGCGGCGCCTCCTCGCACCCCAGCTCGCCGCGGCGCCCGCAGCCGGCCCCGGCCGCACCCCGCGCCCCTGCGCTCCCGCCCGGGCCGGCCGCGGCGCCCCGACCGAGCGATGCTGCGCCGCGCCGCGCCCGCGCCGGCCCCGGCCGCCTGGCGGCTGCTGCTGCTGCTGCTGCTGGGCGGCCGCGGGGTCTGGGCCGCGCGAGGTAAGCGGGTCGGGCGGGGCGCGGGGGCAGGAGCGGGGCGCGGGGGGCCGGAGCGGGGCGCGGGGCCGGAGCGGGGCGGGGGGGCGGAGCGGGCGCGGGGGAACGGAGCGGGGCGCGGGGGGCCGGAGCGGGGCGCCCGGGGAAGCCTGGCTCCGTCCCGGGCTGGGCTCCCGGGCCGGGGCGCCCCCTTGGCCGCCGGGGTGGGGGCCGCGCCGACCCGGGGGCCCGAAGGACCCGTCTGCCTTCCCCGCGCGCCCGCGGCTGGAGAAGCCCCCCCGGGGGTGATGCCCTGTCCGTGTGGGGTGTGCTCGGGCGTGCTCCAAACTGGGGGTGCAGGCACAGATTTTGGCGGCTGCTTATGTAAGCGCCCACTCCTCCGCGCCTTCCCGGGATGCGGCTCCCCGCGGGGCCGCGGACCCCGCGTCCTCGCCCCCCGCGCCCCTCCGGGTCCCCGCGCGCTCCGCCTGCCACGACCCGAGGCTGGAGCTTCTTGCCCCCCCGACACCTTTCCCCGCAGAGGTGAGGTCGCGTGAGCCCAGGACCGCGGCCGCACCTGCGCCGGGAACCCCTTGCCTGCCCCGACGACGGCGCGGGTTTCCTGGCGGGGTTCGGGGCGTGCGAGGACCTGCCGGGGTGCTGCTCGCCAGAAGCGCAGACCCCTCTCGGGCCCCTCAGGGCCGAAATGATTTTATCGATACTTGGCGAGACCTGTTTCTTAGAGAATTTATTTGTTGTTGTTTCAACCTTCGTGGGCTCAGCCTTCCCGCGGCTCAGGCTCTCCGGTGTTGACCGATCTTGCCAGCGAGAAGCTTACGCATTGCAGATAGGTGCTTCTGCAGGAGCTGGGGATCGTAAACGCTTTCTTGGTCTTGGAGCAAAGTGATCTGCGTGGAGTCAGGAGAGTGCTTGCATCTATTTTTCTGATTTTTTTTAATCAGGAAAAAATGGGGGCGAGGGCTGAGGAAGTCTAGATGAAACGGTCATTAATGCATTTTAGCAAGCTTTTAATAAAATTCTCCTTTAATAAAATTCTTCCTCGGCATGCCGTATCAAGAGAAGTATGGTGTTCCAAGTTGAAGGGCAGAAGGGGCAAATGCATCTTTTGTTCCATGTTCCTTCCCATCAGGATGATAAACTTTGAATACTTCTTTCATAGCCGACATTCTGTTGACTGTCAAATTCGGGTCTGACACTCAGTATCGAAACGCTCGCCATTTGATTTTTAAAAGTTACATCAAGCAAAGTTGGAAGAATGTTCTTTCCAGATGTGGGATGGAGGTCTGCAGGTCTCATAATGCATCCAAGAGGATAAAACAGACCTCCGTGCTGCAGCAGGGCCGTAGGAATTCGTCAGTAGGCTATTTTTCTGATCCTGTGTGATATGAACTTGTGGGGATTGCAGTGTTGGGGATATTAGATAATAAAAAATGCAGCAGCCTTCCATGGCTGTAGCTTCTTGGCGACCACTTTGAGTCTTTTTTTAAATGGCAATTTTCAGGTTTTTGGGAAAATGGTTTCTTGATTGATTACCTTGCTTTTCATAAACAACTGTCAGGGAAAAGTCATTTGAATATAGGCTTCAGTATTATGCTTAATCTCATATTTTTATTGCCAAAAATAAATAGCATTTATTTCACATAGACCTTTAATTGCTAAAGAAATAATGAAATATGAATAATCCTGGATGTATTCCAGTTTAAGAGTTGTAACTCAGTTAGCTGGAACCTTCTGTTAACTTCCGGTTGCATACTGCGGGTAGGAGAAAGAGCATAAAGCCATACTGTTTCATAGGAATTCTTCCAAAAAAAGGCGAGTTTTAAGAGTTCATATCATATAGGATCTCTGTCAGTAGTCTTTGATTTTAGAGTCCCCAAAATTAATGTTTCAGTTTTAGACAGAAGGACTATGACAGATAAGTGGAATTTTAATGAAATGTGATTATTTTTGCATTGATTATTTTTGCATTGAAATAAGAAGATGCTGTAATTCCATGACACATGCTTCAGTACCTGGTGAAGCCTATTAAACCAACTCTTTTTTTCTCTCTCCTATAATGAGGTAACATTGGTTTACATAGCCAACTCTTAATGTTTCAAGGGAGGAACCTGATGGATTTAAAATTTGAAGACTTTTTTAAAGAAAGGATTGAGTTATTTTTATTATTGCTTTCTAAGACAGGAGCATGTTACTTTCTAGATAGGATTTTTATTTATGACTCCAAACAAAATAGGAAATCTGATGATCCTGAAAATCGGCTGGAGTCTTTTTCACATATTCTTGTTAATTGAAATTTCAGATCATTAGGTTTTAAAAAAATATGCATTTTCTTAATTTGGTATAGCACAGGTACTTGAATTCTTTGGTAAAGAAAATTTGAGATAATGATTTGTTATAAAATACATAATCTAGTAGAGCTTTGGGAATATGAATTCAAGATTGGCGGATAGGATTCTTGCGGTGTTGAGTTACTGCACCATTAAAAAAAAAATCCATCCAAAACCAACGATGCAGAAGTAGCATTGACACACAATAGAGATGGGGTGCAAAGGCCAGAAGTAGGTGTCCTCGAGGTGACAGCCCCCTGCCCAGGCTGGCTCACCAGGCCTGTCTTTCCCACAGTCACCACCACCGGGAACTGGGATGCTGCTCCCGTTGTCCCGGATTTGCCCCTTTCTTGCCTATGCTCTAGGCATATTTTGGTTCATTTTCTTATTTAGCTGTGGGATGATATTATTATTAGATTGAAAATATTCACAATCTGTTGCTAAGGCTTTTTTCTTTTTCAAGTTTGAGACAAAGATTCAATTCCTTCAAAGGAACTGAATGTAGAACAGCTTAAAAAACCTGCAAAACACATCTGGAAGTTGGCTTCTTTCCTTCTAGAACCCTCCAAAGAAGTATGTAGGAGCAGAGAAAAGGAAGAGCTGGGCTTTGCTTTTTCACCTCTGGGCCGACCTGAACGTGACCTGCCAGCGCAGTGCACCCAGCTGCGTGACTTGTGACCAGTAGGGCTGTGGTGCTGCGATGCGTCACGTCTGCCTTGATCTGTTTCCCTGAACTTGTTGTTTAAGATCTCGGAAGACTTTTCCCATGTCCACTCTTTATAAATTTTGAAACGGGCTTTTTGAGATATAATTCATATACCATAAAATTCGCCTTATGTGTATACAATTAAGTGATTTTAGTGCATTTACAAAGTTGTGTAACCATGATCACTATCTAACTTTCCAACATTTTCATGCCCCCCACCACCAAGAAGCACTGTACCCATACCCCTTAGACCTGCTCCAGATTTCCCACCCCCATCCCTGGCAACCACTCATCTGCTTTTGTCTCTGTGGATTTGCCTGTTCTGGACATTGCATATCCATGGAATCCATACTGTGTGGCCTCTTGTGACTACGTTCGCTGCTGATGTTTTCAAGGTTCATGATGATGTAGCAGGTATCAGTGTTCATTTCTCCCACGGACAGTATTTCCTACAGACTAAATGTCCTGCAAGTTCATATGTTGAAACCTGATCCCCAAGGTGGTGGTATTTGCAGGTGTGGCTCTGGGGAAGTGATTAAGTCATGAGGGTGAAGCCCCCATGGGTGGGATTAGCACCCTCTGAAAGTGCCTCAGACAAGGCCCTTATCCCTTCTGCCTTGTGAGGACCCTGCCGAAGGTGCAGCTTATGAACCAGGTGAGTCCGAGTCAGACACTGAATCTGCTGGCACCTTGATCTTGGACTTTCCAGCCTTCAGAACGCTAAGAAATAAACTTCTGTTGTTGATGAATCACCCAGACTAAGACCATGTTCCAGTGCGTGGAGAGGCCACATTTTCCTTCTCTATTCATCAGTCGATGGGCATTTAGGTTGTTGTCCACTTTGCTTTTTATGAATAATGCTGTTGTGAACACTTGTGCGGGTATTTATATTTTCACTTCTCCAGGGTCTGCAACAGGGAGGGAGTGCCTTTGCCTGGTCTTTGGGTAATTGTTTAACCTGAGGAACTGCCACACTTTTTTCCCAACTGGCTGCATGATCCTCGTTCACTCACAACCCCTGTAGTCACTCCTAGGAGCATCTGTCCAATCAGATACATATTTTGCTGTTGCTCAAGAGTAGTCTTATTTGTGTTGGTTTTTTTTTTTTTTAAAGATTTATTTATTTATGCATACAAGAGCTGGGTTCAGGCCAGAGGTGCGGGGGGGTGGGAGGACTCACCAGAGACAGAGTGGGGAACAGAACAGGCAGACTGACTGAAGTACACTGCTGAGGGGAGCAGCAGGTGAGGCAGGAGAGGTCTGCTGCACCATGTGGGTCACCTCCCTGGCCGGGTATCGAACTCATGCTGCAGAGGCTGTGGACTGCTTCAAAAGTTGCGTCTTAACTCCTTGCACCACCAGGGAGGCCCCTTACTTGTGTTTTAAGTGGCTGATTTTTCCCCTCTCTAGGAATAAACTGGCATCTCATCCAGCCAGTCCTTCCTTGCCCCTATCTTGCCTGTGTTATTTCTAGCCAGGGGTTGGACTTTGAGTTGAAAGGAACTTTTGGAAGGTCTGTCTTCTGTGCCTCAGTCGCCTTCCTGATGAAACAGATGCTTCTTCACGCGTCCTGACAATTGGTCATTCAGCACGGGACACTTGTGAGCCCACACAGTAAGCCTTCCCTTACAAACATTGCTGGGGACGTCAGTTGGCTTTCCCTGGCTCTGAATCTTGTCAAGTCTCCACATCTTTGCAGGCGTCCAGTTCTGTACTTCTTTGTCTTTGCTGCCTCTCACTTTCAGAAAGGCTGGGTGTGTTTGTGAGCCAGTGTCCATCCTGGCCCCGTTGTCCACCTGTCATGTGAGGACTGAGGACAGCGCTGTAGATTCAGTGTTGGGGGACACATGCCCCCCCCCAGCAGTGTAAATACCTCGTTTTCAGCATCAGGTTTATGAAAGCGAATGGAAGAAACATTAGAGTTCTTAAACTGCAACTAGTTTAGAAAATGACATTTTTTTTCATTCATG